AGCTAATGTTTTTGTATTTTTAGTAGAGACAGGGTTTCACTATGTGAGCCAGGGTGGTCTCGATCTCCTGACCTTCTGATCCACCCACCTCGGCCTCCCAAAGTGCTATCCAACTATTTCTTTTCCATCCATCCACCCTCCTTCTTCTTCCCTCCTGCTTTCTCCCCACCCTCAATGGATTTAGCTGATTCTTCCTTAGTCTGTTCTTTCCATATGGTTATACACGCTGTGTCTTTTTCTCATAGTCATTACCTCAGGAATTTTAATATGCATGCTTAACAAGGTAATCAAAACACAAGGATGTTAGAACACTTTAATTCAGTCACTCACCGCCTGACTTGTATACTGTTGTTTCCAAAAACATTAGTTCTTTATGTTTTTTTCTTTTTCTTTTTCTTTTTTTTGGACATTCAAATTAGTGTTATTTTTGTATAGTTCTTTTAACAAGAAACATATGTGCAGAAAGAATATGTGAGGGCAAATTCTAGAATTCACTGCAGAATGTAATGTTGCATATACCTCAAGTGTTACATATTTTTCTATATGCTATCAAATAATATCAAATGAAAATTTAAATTTTTGCTACTTACCCCAAAACATTAAATAGAATTAGGAATATTAATTTCTTGAGGAATAAGCAATTCATTGAATATATTTTATGCCAAAGTCTGATTTTATTTCGACTTCAGAGAAGTCAAAGAAAGGTTCTATTATTCTAGGACCTTAATCACTGTAGCGTTAATAGAGGGGACCCAGTTTAAGTGGGCTAATATCTAATACCATGGGAAATAAATTGAGCATCTTTCTAAAGTGTGTGTTAGCACTTTTCAGAGTACTTGCTATGTGTTACGTAGAGTATCTTCTTAATCTCTCAGTCACTGCCCTACAGGGTGTTGGTATTGTCCCTCTTTTATTGGTAAAGAAAATGCAGAAAAGACATAGCTAATTAGTGGTTGCCAGGATTGGGGTTTAATTAATTCATTCATCTAGACTTTATTTTAAAGCAATATCTGTTTGGAAATATTCACAGCCCAGTCACTGAGAAATGGTAAAATTTCCACACTGTGTTCCTACTGTATTGGTTATCTGCTGCTAGATAACAAATTATCCAATGTTAGCAGCTTGAAGTAACACACATTTATATGATTTCACAGTTCATGGGGTCAGGAATCTGGGCATGGTGTAGCAGGGTCTGCTACTAACTACAGGGTCATGGGCTACAGCGAAGGTGTGAGATAGGGCTACAATAGTATTTGAGGGCATGGCCAGTAAAGGATCTGCCCCCAAACTTACTCAGTTGGCAGTATTTAGTTCCTCTTGAGGTGTTAGACTGTTGGCCAAAGTCTTGCCTTGGTTGTTTCTCACATGGGCCTCTCATATCTCACAACATGGCAGCTTGCTTTATCAGAGCCAGCAAGTGAGAAGGTGAGAGGGAGTGCTAGCACAATGGAAGTCAGTTTTTTGTGACCTAATCAAGGACGTGACAGCTTATCACTGTGGTCATACTCTTTTTTAACAAACTTTTATACTGAAAAACAACAGACCTAGGTTCATACCTCTCTTACCTTATACTAAGATAAATTCAAAATGCATCAGAGATTTAAGTGTAAAAAAAAGGCCGGGCGTGGGCTGGGTGTGGTGGCTCACACCTGTAATTCCAGCACTTTGGGAGGCCAAGGTGGGTGGATCACTTCAGGTCAGGAATTCAAGGCCAGCCTGGCCAACATAGTGAAACCCCATCTCTACAAAAATACAAAAATTAGCCAAGCATGGTGGCATGCACCTGTAATCCCAGCTACTTGGGAGGCCGAGGCAGGAGAATCACTTGCACCCGGAAGGTGGAGGTTGCAGTGAACTGAGATTGTACCACTGTACTCCAGCCTGGGCGACAGAGTGAGCCTCCATCTCAAAAAAAAAAAAAAGCTGTGGCTGTGGCTGAGTGCAGTGGCTCATGTTTGTAATACTAGCACATTGGGAGGCCAACATGGGAGGATCACATGAGTCCAGGAGGGCAACATAGTAAGAACCTGTCTCTACTGAAAACAGACAAACTTAGCTGGGTTATTCTGTTTGTTAAAAGGAGTTGCCAGATCCGCCTCATGCTCCAGAAAGGCATGAATACCAGGAGGCGAGGATCACTGGGGGCCATCTTAGAAGGCTGCTTACCATAACTGCCAACCCGGTGTTTTTATTTGAGGTGCCAGAGGTAGAGGTGCAGTCATACAGAAGGCTCCTCATCTCTTTGAATAAGCCCCCAGCCCATAGCTATTCTGGGTTATTTTTCCAGAAGCTCAGTGACCAGGATACATAGTGAGAAGTAAAAAATATAAAATATTGTCATAGGAAGGGATTTGGCTGAAAGAGTCAGAAATGTGAAAGCCCTAAGGAAGACAAAGGATGTCAAGAAACGTGAAAAAGGGAGGAATGAGGGAATTGTCAGCAAGGACCATTCTCTACACGCAGGTGTAGAGAAAACGAGGAGGTGATTGAGGGGAGTCAACAGCCTCGTGGTAATAATAAAAATCTTCATCTCAGACGGGCACAGTGGCTCACATGTGTAATCCCAGTGCTTTGGAAGGCTGAGACAGGAGGATCATCTGAGGCCAGGAGTTGGAGAACAACCTGGGCAACGTAGTGAGATGACCCTGTCTCTACAAAAAAATAATAAAAAAATTAGCTGGCTGTAGTGGTGTGCACCTGTAGTTGCAGCTACTTGGGAGCTGGGACTCGAGGATTGCTTGAACTGAGGAGCTGGAGATTGCAGTGGGCTAAGAACATGCCACTGCACTCCAGCCTGAGAGACAGAGCAAGACTCTGTCCCCTGTCTCTTTAAAGAATAAAAAAATTGGCTGGACTTAGTGGCTCACGCCTGTAATCCCAGCACTTTGGGAGGCCGAGGCAGGCGGATAACAAGGTCAGGAGTTCAAGACCAGCCTGGCCAATATGGTGAAACCCCATTTCTACTAAAAATACAAAAACTAGCTGGGGGAGGCGGCAGGCGCCTGTAGTCCCAGCTACTCAGGAGGCTGAGGCAGGAGAATTGCTTGAACCCGGGAGACGGAGGTTGCAGTGACCCGAGATTACACCGCTGCACTCTAGCCTGGGTGACAGAGCGAGACTCCGTCTCAAAAAAAATAAAAAAAAAGAATTCAAAAATCCCCCCAAACCAAACTTCATCTCACTTGACTCTCTTTGAAACTCTCAGGCTTCTAAGGAAACCCTTTGTTTCTCCAACTCCTTTCTTACCTCCTTGGAAGAATCCTCTCTCCCTCTTCCCCACCTCTCTTTCGGCCTCACAGAGGCCTCGATGACCTGAGCTCACTCCCTCTTTCCTGTTCCCATTACCTGAGCCCTCCAGCCTCTGTCCCGAGATTTAGGGCTTCTCCTCCCACCTTCCAACAAGAGAAATTGTGTGGAGGAAATTAGACTCCAATGTTTCAGAGGAAAAAAGGTACAAATTCGATCCTGAAGAGGCCGTCAGTGTTTGATACATTCTATTGAAAAGAGTCAGGAGTGTACTCATAGGAAACAAGTTAATCAATAAACTTTTACCCAGAGCAAAGTGACAGTGGACACACATTCATACTGTCTCTGATGGCTTTTATCCGAAGTATTCAAGACCACCCAAAGGATGATAAAACAGAGACAAGCATGTCTGGCTCCAAACAACACCCTTAAACTGGATGATGCAATCATTTGGGGAACCCCTCCCCCAGAGTGAGTGGAGGTTACCAATTCCTAGTTACCTATGAATACTTCAAGTCCTGTCCTTCAAAAGTCAAGGGTTAAAACAGACAAAATGTCATCGCTAATATATCCTAAAACACAAAATGGACAAGTATAAAACCCTTGCCAGTAAATAATATTGATAAAGTTTCTCATTTGGAGTGTTCTCTCCCACCAGGTTGGTAGTGGGAATATCCTTTAAAAATTAATCCACTGAAAGGAGGAGTGTGATTGACTCATTGAGGAGGCAGATTTCTAGAATTAACTTTCCTTTGTCTGTACCTCATCCAAAATTGGAGCCCTTCAGTTATAGTTTCCATCTTAATAAGAATACTAAGATTTCAGAAATTGGTACATGTAAACTACAGTCTTAACCTCCCCTCAGGTTTAAAAAGTGTAGCTATCTGGTTTTCTGAGACATTATTTTTTTGTCTGGAGGAAGAAATTGTTGAGTCCGAGTGCACAGGGCTGGGATTGGGAGTGGGGTGAACTGTAAGTAAAAACAAGGGATCTTACTGGGGTGATGGAAATGGTCTAACACTGTGCTGATGGTTGCACAGCTTGGTAAATTTATTTTTAAAAAATCAAAGAATTGTACATTCGAAATGAGCAATTTTATGTTATATAAATGATGTCATTATAAAGTTATTTTAAAAAGAGGCAGTGTGCAGATCTCTTAAAACCACATCATGCACCTTTTAGTAAGGTATTACTCTTATTTCCTTCTAAATTCTTTCTTATACTTTAACCCTTTTGGTATCAGATCTTTTTAAAAATCTTATAGCCTCTAAAAAAGCTGGTCTCTTCTTTCAGTTTCCCTATGTGTTTCATTATTTTGGTTATTTTATACTTAAAAAAATAGGAACTATAACTAGAAGGCAAAATAAATAAAACTCAGGTTAATTTATTCTTCAGAATAAATTGTAAGGCATATTTATATACTCTGCAGCTATATGTAAGAAGGTGAGAAACGTGCTTTCCTTCCTCCGTTCTTCTCTGTCCTTTCACATGCCTACATGTATTTGCTTCCCGGTAAGTTTGCGGGACCCAGGTCTTCTGAGTCTAGATCTGTTGTTCATGCTCGTGGACCATATCGGTAGAAATCAGGGGCCTTCCCTGCTGCATCCAGTCATCAGACAAGCCAGTTTTTCCAGTATCTCTTTACCTTTTTACCCAATGAACTTAAGTATTTGGAATGGTTGACCCTTGTGTATATTATAGGTATCAGACTTAAGAGATTAAAAACTCTGCTTAATTTTTTATTTTCCGTATAGCTCAAATCTAATCCAAGTGAAAATGAAGAAAAGGAAGCGCAGTCTCAACTTATAAAATCTGATGAAATGCAGCGTTTGCGTTCGCAAGCACTTGATGCTTTTGAAAGTGGAGATTATGCTGCTGCTATAGCCTTCCTTGATAAGATTTTAGAGGTAAGTCTCTTAGATACTGCAGTTGACCAGCCTAACACTTATTGTAAGGCACATTTATATACTTTGACATGTCACATATCACAAAAACCTAGACAGGAGAAAATCAGGTTGGTCCTTGGGCTTTTAACTCTTAAGTATAAAATAATGTTTATATAAAACAAAATTTGGACTGAAGTTTTCAGTAAATGTACTGAATGTGCTGTAGCATGAGAGTTAAATATGTTTATATATTGCTTGCTTTGCTATTTTAGTTGATTTTGTATTTTTTGGGGGAGAAAACTAGGGGTTAGATAATGGGATAAAAGATGAAAGAGATGGTTGGAATAAAAGGAAAAATGATGTTCGGGAGGAAAGAGGAATGTTTAGAGAAAAATTTCTAGAAAATAAGGCAGATAAAGAGTTGATAGTATGTACCTGTAGTCCTAGCTACTTGGGAGCTGAGGCTGGAGGATCACTTGAGCCCAGGAATTCGTGGCTGCAGTGAGCTGTGATCGCTCCACTGTCCCCCAGCCTGGGCAAGAGAATGGGACCCTGCCTCTAAAAATATTAATAATTGACTGAGTACGGTGGCTTATGCCTGTAATCCCAGCACTTTGGGAGGTTGAGGTGGGTGGATCACTTGAGGCCAGGAGTTTGAGACCAGCTTGGCCAACATGGCAAAACCCTGTGTCTTAAAAAGAAAAAAAAAATGGTAAATGGTGTGGTGGTGCATGCATGCCTGTGATCCCAGCTGAGGCGCTGAGAAGCGGAGGTTGCAGTGAGCCGAGATCATGCCAAAAAAAAAAAAGAATAATAATAATGGTTGATAGAATCCAAAGAGTTCTAGCTAGGGAAATCTAAGTCTAGGTTTCCTTGCCTCTGAAGGATTTAATGACAACTGATTTCCGAAGGAAGTCTACTGAAATATTCAAATGGAAGCAGTCGTAATTCACATTTATTTAAGATTTTCACAGTATTTTGATGTACAGTTTCATTTAATTTTGGCTCTAAACTTATATGTAGAATGGACATTTTGTTGATCATTTTACAGAAGATATTGTGATATGGTCTAGTAGAATTCATGTTTTACTGGGTTATTTTGTTTATGCTTTAAGGAAATATAGTTTACATTTTTACCTTCCCATAGACCATTTTGACTTAGCTCATTGTCCATGATATTTATGTATAATGTTGATTTTGATATTTTCGTATATGTGAAAAGTCAATACGAGTTTAGAACAGCTCTAAGAAATATGCAAAGATACTTCCACCAGCCTTATTGATGAGCTCTTGGGTTTATGATTTGAAAAATACTATTGTGTTTACTAAACCCTTATGAACTTTTTGGGAATAGGGATGGTGAAGCCTCAACCTCCTGCTTTCTCACGGTATTTTTTTCTTTTCTTTTCTTTTCTTTTCTTTTCTTTTCTTTTTTCTTTCTTTTCTCTTCTCTTCTCTTCTCTTCTCTCTTCTCTTCTCTTCTCTCTTCTCTTCTCTTTTCTCTTTCTTTCTTTTTTTTTTCTTGATATGAGGATTTACTTTTAAGGAGGTGACAGTTTACAGAAGATAATTTCTTAAAACATTTTTTTGTTTAGAGACTTGGTCTCTCTCTCTGTTACCTAGACTGGAGTGCAGTGGTACGATTATAGCCACTGTAACCTCAACCTCCTGGGCTCAAGTGATCCTCCCACCTCAGCCTCCTGAGTAGCTGGGACCTCCGGTGTGTTCCACTGCACCCAGTTAATAATTTTAAATTTTTTGTGGAGATGAGATCTTGCTATGCTGTCTAAGCTGGTCTGGAATTATAGGCATGAGCCACTGTGCCCAGCTAAGAATTTAATGTGCTTATTAGCAGAAAAAAGTAGTTTGCCAATTTAGAACCTAGATTTTATTTTTTGACTACAAATTAGAATTGTTGATTAAGTATAAAAATCTGATAACAGAATATTCTCTTCAAATATGCTTCACTAGGAACAACCCTCCAATAGTAAATGCTATGTTTTCTTATTTTCAGTGTCTTAGAATTATATAATCGAAGGAGGTAAGAAAAGGGCCTTGTTATTATATATATCCCTTCCCCCATTAGAATTCATTTACAACATTTTTGGAAAAACTATTTTGTCACATCAGTTTTGTCACATTTAAATTGTATCAGATTTTAAAATAATATTTGCAGTCTGTAAGTCATCACATTAATTGAGAATGTTTTATGTTGATAAATATGTAGATAAAAAATATGTGGAATGCAACAATGAATGTGCATAATTTTTTCTTCCTTAAAGTCTAGTTCTTTTGTTCCTCAAGGTTTGTGTTTGGGATGCAGAACTACGGGAACTTCGAGCTGAATGTTTTATAAAAGAAGGAGAACCTAGGAAAGCTATAAGTGACTTAAAAGCTGCATCAAAGTTGAAGAATGATAATACTGAGGCGTTTTATAAAATAAGCACACTGTACTACCAGCTAGGAGACCACGAACTGTCCCTCAGGTCAGTCCTAGTGACACACGTCTGATCTTCTTTAATTGTTGGCAGTAAGATAACCTCATCTTGTTTTAACATTTTAATATTAAATTAATAAGATGATGGTGATTAAGGCTATTTTTATATTGTATATCCATTTATATATTTTGTGTTATTCCCATGTTACTTTAATTCCACATAGTTTGTTTTCATGAAGCTGCTTATTAAAATAAACAGGAAGGCTCTTATATTTCTAGAAACAAAATTGAATGTTTACTTTGTAATGCTAGTAAGTCATTTTAATTTGAATTAACAAATGTATGCATAGTACAATGCCATATATAAATGTGTATAGTAAATTATAAGTCTCAGTATGTTTTTGTTTAATTGTTGCAAACAAAGAATACTTTTACTGTGATTTCTGTATTTAGTGTGGAAAACTACTCATTGATTGTTTTGACATGGAATATTTTCCTTTTTTTAAATACATGAACAGTGAAGTTCGGGAGTGTCTTAAACTTGACCAGGATCATAAAAGGTGTTTTGCACACTATAAACAAGTAAAGAAACTTAATAAGCTGATTGAGTCAGCTGAAGAGCTCATCAGAGACGGCAGGTGAGAATACGGTTGTTCCAGCTGTCCAGCCATTCCTTATATGTTAGACTGTGGGCACAAGTGAATTACAGAACTGCTTTTACTTCTCAGCCATTGAGGGTGGGGTATTCTAGACAGCCCTGGGCCTTGGCAAAACTACCAGAACTGGACATTTTTGGAATAGGGAAGAATATAAACAATAGTAACCGTGTAGTATTCTTACCAGCAGACTTACTTGTATTATACCAAATATTTATTATCTCCTCTATCAGGCACTGAGCTGTGTCCTGAGGGTGCAGAAACGAACCTGATGGTAGTTTGTGTTCTTAACAAGTTTATAGCATTGCGTGGGAGACACATATATGAACAGATTATTAAAAGACAATATGATACCAAAGTGATAGAATGTACATAGGATAATTGGAGTACCAAAAAGGAGTATTTACTCCAAACCAGGATGGTGAAGGCAAGGAGTGTAAGAGAAGCTTTTTTTAGAGAAGACAATAGATATTTAAATCCTAATCCTAAAGAGAAAGTAAGAGTGGGCAGAAGTAAGAGGCTGTGTCTGTGTGAGTGTTATTTGTAGAGGGTTTGTAGGCTGGGCGGGAGGACTGAAAAGAGTACAGGGCACTGCAGACAAAACTGCCTAATAGAAAATAGGCTCTAATTCCTCTACTTTTAGTAGCTTTGTAAGTTACCATCATGAGAATGCTTTACCCAGTTTCCCCCAACATCTTGCAGACTATAACGCCTTGAAAAACCATAGTACCTTGTCACAATGAGGATATTGATGTGGGTGCAGTCAAGATACAGAATAATTCCATCCCAACAAGGACCCCTCATGTTGCCCTTATAGCCACACCTACTTCCCTGTTGTTCCTATCCCTTCCTTAGCTAATCTAGTCACTTCTAGAATTCTGTCATTGTAAGAATGTTACATAAATAGAATCATACAATGTATAAACTTTTGGGATTGGCTTTTTTTTTTTTTTTTTTTTGAGACAATCTTACTATGTTGCCCACCTGTTCACAGGTGCAGTCATAGTACATTGCAGCCTTGAACTGTTGGCCTTGAGTGATCCTTCTGCTTCAGCCTCCTGAGTAGCTGGGACTTCAGACGCATGCTACCACAGCTGGCAGCATGGGCTTTTTCCCCCCTCATTCGAATTCTCTGGAGATTTATCCATATTGTATCAATAATTCTTCATTTACTGTTGAGTGGTTTCCATGGTGTGGATTTACTGCACTTTGTTTAACCATTTATCCATTGAAGGACCTGAGGTTGGGAGTTCGAGACCAGCCTGACCAACACAGAGAAACCCTGTGTCTACTGAAAATACAAAATTAGCTGGGCATGGTGGCACATGCCTGTAATCCCAGTTACTGCAGAGACTGAGGTGGGAGAATCACTTGAACCCAGGAAGCGGAGGTTGCAGTGAGCCGAGATTGCACCATTGCACTCCAGCCTGGGCAACAAGAGTGAAACTCCATCTCAAAAAAAAAAAAAAGTTTTCTGTTTGCAAGTCTGCCCTTTTCAGGTCCTCTGGCTAGAGACAGCAGCCTTCTGCAGGTTTTTGTTACTGTCATTCTGTACCTGTTGGCATTTCTGCATTGCTGGAATCTTCAGCTCCAAGTCTGGGATATATGAGACGAAAAAAGGAACCCAGGGAACTTCTTACCATGTTTTTCCTCAGGTCCTGAGTCACTAGCTAGTCTGTCTTCTCTCCTCCTTTGAAAGTTTTCTATTTTAAAAAATATACATTTAATTTCTAGGGTTTTTAGTTGTGCTTAGCTGGAGGAATTGGGAAAAATACATCTATTCCACTTTTCCAGAAGCTGGCTTTTTTGCTTTTTTCTTTTACTTTAAGTTCCAGGATGTATGTGCAGAACGTGGAGGTTTGTTACATAGGTAAATGTGTGCCAAGGTGGTTTGCTGCACCTATCAACCCATTACCTAGGTATTAAGCCCCGCATTCATTAGCTATTTGTCCTGATGCTCTCCCTCCCCTTGCTGCCTGCCCCACACAGGCCCCCGTGTGTGATGTTCCCCTCCCTGTGTCCGTGTGTTCTCATTGTTCACCTCCCACTTATGAGTGAGAATATGCAGTGTTTGGTTTTCTGTTCCTGTGTTAGTTTGCTGAGGATGATAGAGAAGCTGGCTTTTATTTTAAATGTTTTAGTTAAGCCTGTGTTTTAATACATCAGCATATTTACATATGAAGATTGTAGCACTTTGGGAATAATGTGCCACCATGGCATAGAAACATATTTTTTAGTTTACTATTGTTGAGGAAAATAACTGAGTATATATAACAGGATTAGCACTTTTTACTGGTTTAAAGAAAATGCTGAAATAGCTTTTATTCTTAGAAAGCTTATACAGTTGGGAATTTAATCAGGTACCTTCTGTATGAACTACATTGTACTTTGTTGTGAATACTGACATTAATTATATAAAATGGCATGTAATGGGTTCCGTTATTTTCATGGAAGTGTTTACTGACCAAGAAATAAAACTTGATCTCTGTATTGTTCAATGTGCTCAGTATAAGTCAGACTTCAACAGGGTATTTTACTCAGGTTCGGAATTCTGAGCTTGTTTCTGTAAGGAAATTCTTCTGGTTTGATTGGTACTTACAGGTATGCTTTGCTCTGTCCATCTGCATCTCCTATGGTCAGATGTTTTTATTTCTTAACTCTTAATTATGGAGTGTACCTTCTATGGGACTCTAGATTAATAAGGGAAAAGCCAAATCTGAAGCCGTGGCCTCATCCAATTGGATTGATTAAGCAACACATGGTGAAGAGGGGAGGAGCCTTTCTACAGCTCTGGAAATCGAATGTCATCGTTTCTTATCATGATTTGCTCATTTCTTAGGTACACAGATGCTACCAGCAAATATGAATCTGTCATGAAAACAGAGCCAAGCATTGCTGAATATACAATTCGTTCAAAGGAGCGGATTTGCCATTGCTTTTCTAAGGTAACAGTTGACTTGTTCCCAGAAATGTGAAAACTCATCATGTGGAATACCAACCATAAATCCCTTTCTCACATTTCCTTTTAGGACGAGAAGCCTGTTGAAGCTATTAGGGTTTGTTCTGAAGTTTTACAGATGGAACCTGACAATGTGAACGCCCTGAAAGACCGAGCAGAGGCCTATTTAATAGAGGAAATGTATGATGAAGGTAAATCTTTAAGGAATTTCATTTGCAGTACCGAAGTGTTGATTAGGAAATTATCACATTTTAAGCTTCCTTTTCCTTAAAACAAGTTTACCAGAGTACCTGGAAATGGTGACGATTTAGAAAAATGGCAGAGAACTTGAAAATTACTCTTCCATAGTGGAACCTGAAAGGTATACCATGTGAGGAAAGAGTTCTGCCATTGAAACCAGTTCAGTACAATAGAAAAATAAATATTTTAGCTTTTTTTTGTAGAAAGTGAGGAAAAAAATAAAATAGAAAATTTAAATTGTAGTTCTCATGTCATCCAGAGGTAATCACTGTTCATTTTGCATTTATCTTTTCCAGCTTATGTCTATGCACATACATTATTCTATATTTTATGCACATATACATATTCTCTCTCTGTCTATATATACACACACACACACACACACTCGGTGTGTATGAAACATATATACAGAAAGCATACATATATGTCATATATCCCTAATATAAAATGATCCTCTGTGACCCCAGGCTGTGTAGTAAAATAGGACAGCTGCTGCCCTGTTTGTTCAAGCCGAATGAAGTAACGAGATTCCTGCTAGATGTTGTGAGGACCTTGGATAAAAGCAGTGTCCTGTTTTTGGAAGAAAACTGTGGCATATACAGTAATATATAGTTTTTGAAAAATAGAATCCATATATATATGGAGAGATATATATATATAGTTTTATACTTTTTTTCATGTGACACTAAGTTATGAACATTTAAATGAAACAGTTTTTTAAAAAATAGCCTTATAAGCCCTTATTGCAAATATTTTGTTTCAAATTCAGATAAAGCATTTTAAATCAAAAACTAATTTTCTCTTATAGTTAAATGAAGGGTTTGAATGGTAAAATTTGGTTTGTGATACTCTTTTTAAAAAAGGCAAAACTGGTCAATCTCGTTTTCCCTGCTTTCCTCAATTAGGAAAGAATCTTGCTCCTAAGCAAGTTCCCGGTTTCCAGGGAATGATAACAACCTGGTCACTACTATTCCTGTGACATCTTGTGGGGGATTCAGACCTTGAGGTCTCTGAATGAGGCTTGAAATGAATGCAGTCAAAATGATGTTTTAATATTCATAAGCATGCTTCAGTAAGGCAGGTAGTCCACATAGAAAATCCCTTTAGC